TTTAAGATGATTTATCCAGTTACTCCTTTGCATTGGTTGGGTGGGGTGGCATAGTGCTGACCTCACCTAGTTTGCCTTGGGTGAAACTATGTCTACGCTGGCAACTAAATGACAAAACTTTTGTCTTTCAGAGGTGTTAAAAAAACACAACCCCAAAGACAAAAGTTTTACCGACAAGCGCTGGTGTGAACAGCTGTTCCTGCCGACAACGCAAACGCTACCCATTGGGGGTGGAAGTTTTTTGTCGGCAGGAGAGCCAACAAACAGCGGCTACACTCCGCGCCTTTTAGTGACATGGCTGTAGCAACACAGCCCTGTCGCTAAAAGCTGCGTAGTGTAGCCATAGCCTAAAATGCCTTGTCTCCACTGAGTTTTTACTAATACATGTTGTTACCTGACACTGAAAATACACATGCTCTTAGCACTGGGGACACAGACTATACTGGTGATTTAGATGTTAAATTAATCATTATTATTCAGAGCTTGACAACTCTGATATTGATTATGTAGTGAATACTGCTCCTTTTCCAGCAGAGGCATTTGCATCTTAATGTCTGCTACCCCCCTCCCCCCAATGCATGGGTGTCATGGAAAACCAGTTAAAACATTTTAAACTAAAGGAATTAATAAAGACTTCTTACCCCTCATTTTCCCTTATTCCCTTCCCCTATTAAGGGCTTGTCTAGATGGTGTGACACACTACAGGTGTGAAGTTAATGCACATAAGTTACTGTGCCTTAAACCCCTGCATGGACACTTTTGTTTTGAGGTTATGACCTTAGTTTTGACTACGGCAGTCAGGGCAACCATAGAAGACTGCAAGAGTCATTCCCCAAAACCTATCACCATCAGGCCTTTGACTTGGGTTCAACATTTTAAAAACATTGTATAATCCAGGTGTATCCAAAGAGAAGGAGTGAAGTAGTGGAGCACTCATCTTAGAATGTTGTCCTATATAGAAAGACCTTTGCAATATTTCACAAGTATCAGTTTTGGCCTGACAAAATTTCAGTAAATGGTTTAAGGTTAAAATTAAAGGTGATCTTGCTCCTTTCTGACCTGCACTGGTCAGGACATCTTTCATGAGTAGGAGAGTGAAGGCCTGAGAGTATTATGGTAGATTCTGCTGTGCACACAGACGGTGTTGGCTTAGCTGTAGAGTGATCCCCTCCATAAGCAATGCACAGACAGTGGTGGCACTCTTGCCTCATTAGAATTAACCAACTGATCCTTAGTTTTGGTGCTTTAACTGCAAAGATTTCTCTTTGATTTCAGCCTCTACCTGCTAGCTAACCAAAAGTAATATAAGCCTTATTTTTAATAACTGCGTGGTCCCAGGAAAATTTAACTTACAAACGCAGCATTTGTCATGTTTACCCCTTTCTTGCATTATGATGGTAATATTAACGAGTCCATTATTGCAATATCCACAAAGGTGAAAGGGCACAGTCTGATAGGCACAACAAAAATATTTTCAGCTTACATAAAACACGGTGATGTTGTACTTCAACACATGTGCAGAGCTGATCACCAGAAACAGAGTGTGGCAGTTACTAGACATGCTCTGTATTTGTTTCTGAACCTCTATAGAATGTTTTCATTGTATAGCCACTTGGCAGGTCACTCCCATTTACTCACCATATAGCTGAGCCAATGAGAACTCAAGGGGCAGGGGGAACATTATAAACATAACTGCTGAAGACAGCCCTGGGACATAAGTGACTGATCAATGAAAGAGCATGCACATGTCTGCTGTGAAGGATGGTTTTGCTGACAACACTGAGAAATGTTTTGAAAAGAAGGAGGATGTCAACATTGTTATGAAGAACTGAAGAAGACAGGCATGTACGCTACATATTATGGACACAGTATAGAATCATAGAAATGGAGAGTTGGAAGAGACCTTGAGAAGTCATGAAGTCCAACCATCTGTGCTGAGGCAGGAGCTAGTAAACCTGGACCATCCCTGGCTGGTGTTTGTCCAACCTGTCCTTGAAAGCGCCCAGTGATGGGGATTCCACAACATCCCCTCGAAGCCTATTCCATAGCTTAACTACCCTTATAGTTAGAAAGTTTTTTCTAATATTTAACTTAAGTCTCCTTTGCTGCAGAATAAGCCCATTACTTGTCGTCCTATCTTCAGAGGACATGGAGAACAATTGTTTCACAGTCCTGTCTCTTTACAACAGCCCTTACCATATTTGAAGACTGTTAACATGTCCCCCCTCAGTCTTCTTTTCTCAAGACTAAACATGCTCAGTTTTTTTTTAACCTTTCTTCATAGGTCAGGTTTTCTCATAAACAAACTAGGGAAATATAACCTAGATGGAGCTACTATAAGGTGGGTCCAAAACTGGTTGGAAAACCATTCCCAAAGAGTAGTCATCAGTGGTTCACAGTCATGCTGGAAGGGCATAATGAGTGGGATCCCACAGGGATCAATTCTGGGTCTGGTTCTGTTCAATATCTTCATCAATGATTTAGATAATGGCATAGAGAGTACACTTATAAAGTTTGCAGACGACACCAAGCTGGGAGGGGTTGCAAGTGCTTTGGAAGATAGGATTAAAATTCAAAATGATCAGGACAAACTGGAGAAATGGTCTGAAGTAAATAGGATGAAATTCAATAAGGACAAATGCAAAGTACTCCACTTAGGAAGGCCCAATCAGTTGCACACATACAAAATGGGAAATGACTGCCTAGGAAGGAGTACTGCGGAAAAGGATCTGGGGGTCATAGTGGACCACAAGCTAAATATGAGACAACAGTGTAATGCTGTTGCAAAAAAAGCAAACATAATTCTGGGATGTATTAGCAGGAGTGTTGTAAGCAAGACATGAGAAGTAATTCTTCTGCTCTACTCCGCTCTGATTAGGCCTCAGCTGGAGTATTGTGTCCAGTTCTGGGCGCCACATTTCAGGAAGGATGTGGACAAATTGAAAAGAGTCCAGAGAAGAGCAACAAAAATGATTAAAGGTCTAGAAACCATGACCTATGAGGGAAGATTGAAAAAATTGGGTTTGTTTAGTCTGGAAAAGAGAAGACTGAGGGGGGACATGTTAGCAGTTTTCAAGTATGTAAAAGGTTGTTACAGGGAGGAGGAACCTCTGAGGATAGGACAAGAAGCAATGGGCTTAAATTACAGCAAGGGAAGTTTAGGTTGGACTGTAGGGATATTAAAGAAGGTACTAACAGTGATTCCCCCAAGTGACAGTGACCCCCTCATAATTTGTCCCCCACACTTTAAAATCCAACAGTTTCACCATGTACAAAAATCTCTTGGGTCTTCTGTTAAAACTTGTAAGCTACTGTCTGTAGAAACCATTGATTATATCTATCCTGTGAAAGATACTTTATTACTATGTAAAACTTACAAGTTAATTGACTTTGTTCTTGAAGTAATTGATACAATGTAAACAAACACCATAAGCCGTTAAGTGATTTTCACTTCATTCAACAGCTCCTAGGACAGACCCCCACCCTCTGTGATTAAAGGGCAGGGAATCTCAAATGAATTAGCACACTCCCCGAAAGTGGTGAAGACAGTAAATTAAAATATGGTTAAGATATGAAATGTATGCTGATGAATTCTTGATGTACATGAATGGTTAGGGAGGTGCCAGCCTAGAAAGGGAGTATCCATCGGCCGAAGAATGTGTCAAGTGGATGACCAGACAACCCCCGGAGGATAAACTGGGATCCATCCACCCCATCACCTGGAAGGATGAGAAACACAAACTTTGGACAGTTTGGAGCCACCAGGAATGTGCCATCTGATGATTGAGTCAGCAACAGCAGAATGAAACAGCTCCCATAGACTAACATAGGAATTAAATCCTATAAGAGTGGACTCTCAAGACTGATGACTTTGAGTCTCTGGTTCTGCTGCCAACCTCCAGGAGCATCAGGTGCATCTGACACAGACTCGGCTCCATCCTCATGACCAAGATACCTGGCCAGTAACTTGGCATGAGCAACCTCTAGGCTGGTAACTATAACACCTATACAGAACTTGAATGAATGATTGTGTGAATGAATCCATATATATATATATGTGTGTGTGTGTGTGTGTGTGTATAAGAATAAGTAGTGATAGGAATAAGTAGTCAAACAATGTTGTTTACTTTTATCTTTTGCTTTATCATTATATTTACAATAAATGTGGCATCTTTGTCTTATCCCTCTTAATAAGATCCTGCTGGTTTTTATTTTATTGGTATAACAGGACATTAGGAAAAACTTCCTGTCACAGTGGTTAAGCACTGGAATAAATTGCTTAGGGAGGTTGTGGAATCTCCCTCATTGGAGATTTTTAAGAGCAGGTTAGACAAACACTTGTCAGGAATGGTGTAGATAATTAGTCCTGCCTTGAGTGCAGGGGACTGGACTAGATGACCTCTCAAGGTCCCCCTTCCAGTTCTATGATTCTACGGGGGAAAAAAACTGTGAGGACAAGGCACTTCAGTTTGAACAGTGAGGAAAAAGGCCTGAGAAAATGTCTCTGGAATAAGAGCTAGGGCAATATACTCATATGTTTTGCCAAAGTGGGTAAGCAGATCAGGTGGAAAACTTGATCAGTATGTCTAACTGACAATAGGGGGAAAAGGTTGCATAAAGAACAATGGAAGAAATTCTGCCTAACAGCTTGTGTTTAAAATGTATCTCAAATACTATTTACAATGCTTTGCACTAGTTTCAGTGTTTCCTATACACAAAATATTTGTTTACTATAGAAACTATATGGTCTATAGAGACTAATAAAGACAGAACATCATTCAGGGTTTCACATACACTAGCCCTGCCATTTACCGCTGTCGAATGGTTTTCCAAATTACAAAAATGTTTGTCTTTATTTATGTCCAAACTGGAAATGCAGATTTCACAGTAGTAGCAAATTGTGACGGTGCACCCCCAACCATCGCAATGCCTGCCCCAAGAGCTGGGGAGAGGGGAGCGCTAGCAAGTTGTGACAGGCCTTCCCACATCAGTCCCCATTCGCCGCCCCTGGCCCAGAGGACGGGGAAAGCGAGGAGTAGCAAAGCCAGACCGAGAAGCACCAAGCTGTCAGGAACTGCTGCCGGAGCAACCGGGGACGGGAGTGGTGTGTGTAACATTACACCGGCTGCCCTCCCGCGGGCGGAGCGCCGAGCTCTCCTTCCAGGGCAGCGAGGCCCGCGCCGGGGGTGGACGAAGGGAGCGGAGCTGGCAGCTGCCCGGGGCTCGCTGCCGATGGGGGAATGCGGGGTTCCCACCCAGGTCCAGCTGTTTCTCCGCGCCTGCGACCAGGGGGACTACGAGAGCGCTCGGCGCCTGTTGGGACTGCCCGGGGGCGGCGCGGAGGCGGCGGGCGGCTCCGCTTGCGGGGCGGAGGAGGCGGCGGAGTCCGGGGCAGGCGAGGCGGCAGCGCCTCCTCCCTCGGTGCCGGTGGACTGCACGGACGAGGCCGGGAACACGGGGCTGCAGTTCGCCGCCGCCGGAGGCCACGAGCAGCTGGTGCGGTTCCTGCTACGCAAAGGGGCCTCGGTGCAGAGCCGGAACCACTACGGCTGGAGCCCGCTCATGCAGGCGGCCAGGTAGGGCCGGGCGCTGCCCGTATCCGCTCCCCCGCAGCCACTGAGCATGCTCCGGCCGCCCGAGCGGCGCCTGGGGCATCCCCCGAGCCCAGCGCTAGGGCGCCTGGGGATCGCCCTGCTCAGGGGCCGTGGGATGAGGGCGGCTAGAGCGCAGGGGTTTCCTGCAAGACAGAGGTTGGGGCGCAGTGGCCTGGGCAATGTCTCTTCTCTAGCGGAACGGCTCCTACTGGGGCTGCTCCCGCCCCGGTTTGACCCGGCTTTGGTGTTTATAAAGTGGCCCTATTTTTTCTTCATTTCAAGGAAGACAGTTAGAAAACAAAACAACCCCCAAGAGCAGCGGAAACCTGGGGGAGTGGTCAGCTCGGAGCAAAGACTTTCCTTCCTGAACATCATCGTGTCTTGGAGTGTGTCTGTTCCTCCACTTACCCTGGCTAGAGCCCATAATAAACAGGGTTAGGGTTGCCAACTTTCTAATCACACAAAACGGAACACGCTTGCCCTGCCTTTTCTCCAAGGCCCCGCTCCACTCACTCCATCCCCCTCCCTCTGTCACTTGCTGTCCCCCACACTCACTCATTTTCACTGGGCTGGGGCAGGTCCCTTTTCGACCAGGTATTCCAGTTGAAAACCAGGCACCTGGCAATGGTCCCTCCAGCCCAGTGCTCCTCCTGGGGAGTGCCAGCAGGGCTGAATTGGTGCCTGGGGGATATTGGGTTTTATATAAATGGAGAAATCAGGCTTATTATAACAGAAGTGTATATTTTATCACAATCTGATCCAAAATAAATACTTTCCTTAAATCTGTACTCTCAGAGTATAAGCTTAACATCAAATCCTGTGTGGAAAAGGAACAAATTATTTTATGCTAATTGATGACACACATTGATCACTCGCAAATGCAAATTCAAACACCTAATTAAATTTACCATAAATCAACAAAGTTAAACATTTCTGGTTAACTTGTGTATGTATATATGTATATACATACACACACACAAGTTAACCAGAAATGTTTAACTTTGTTGAGTTATGGTAAATTTAATTAGGTGTTTGAATGTATGAGTGTATATATATACATGAATTACCAAAAAATACTCTTATGTGACAAATATTAAATGATAATAATTACTGTGGGAAGAAAGGGGCAGATGATAAATGGGGTAGCTGATACATGTTATACACTCAGCTACTGGTAGCAAAATTGGACAGGGAGGCATTTCCTGGCTATGCTGTCATTGCTTCTCCTCCTGGAACTTAGGAAAACCTCTTTTATCAGGAGCTCACAGAGGGGAGAGTGGGGAGGAGAGAAGGTGAGGCAAGAATGAGGGACATATCCTGATTCTTATGATATAAAAAATATCCTGGTAGTGTTTAAAGAAACAAAAGAAACAACAAAATAACCCCCCCACACACAGAAAAAAACAAAAACAACAACAAAAAAACCTTGCCTGTTTCCAATCTCCTGCAGGATACTGAGACTGAGATATTTATTAAAAGCCCCATGCATTTGAAAACAAAATTATTGTACTCGAACATTTCCCCCTTCCTTTTGATTTGTACACTGAATGCTAACTCTTCCCTTTTCTAGCATCTTTCACCACAGCCAAGCTTAGGTCTTTCTGCCTCATCCCCAATAATAAATATTCTGAAATTGGAACTTTTTTGTTTTTGACCACAGAATGGTTAAGAATCTCTCTCATTCTCGCAGAGCTATATTGGCTCTGCAGAGCTCATAGCAGTAGAAGCTTATTTATAGGAAGGAAAATTGAATTTGAAGTTTTGAACTACTGGGCCAGTTGTTAATTGGACTGGTAATTTAAAAGAAACAAATAAAACCTCCATTCTAAAATTTCAAAAGCTTGGGGTGGGGAGAAGTTTATGGTGAAGAAAGATTTCTATTTGAAAAGTGAAATAACCCCCCTAAAAGTGACTATGGGTACATCTACACTACCCGACGGCTCAATGGGTAGTGATCGATCTATCGGGGATCGATTTATCACGTCTAGTGTAGACCCGATAAAATCGATCCCCGATTGCTCTGCCGTCGACTCCGGAACTCCACTGTGGCGAGGCGCGGAAGCGGAGTCGACAGGGGAGCGGCAGTGGCCAACTTGCCGCCGTCCTCACGGCCAGGTAAATCGACCTAAGATACGTCGACTTCAGCTACGCTATTCGCGTAGCTGAAGTTGCGTCTCTTAGGTCGACCCTCCTCTCCCCCAGTGTAGACCTAGCCTATATCTGAACATAGGGATTTATAATGGAAATACGTGTGCACAGTGGCAGGTCATCCAGTAGTGGTATTAAAACAATACTTCTATTTTTTTAGGCCCTGATTCAGGAAATCCCTTAAGTATGTGTAGAATTTTAAGCATGTGAATATTCCCATATTGAACTCACATATATTTAAATGCCCTCTTGATCTGGGACATTTGTGTTTTGTCCAGATCTTTATAGTTCTGTGGATTCTTCTAAATCCTAATGTCAGAGGATGGGGGTTGGGCAGCGGTGATAGTCTTGAGTCCAAATGGTACATTTTCAGTTGATGTAGGTATCTTATGAGAGTTTAGCATACTGGATAACTGCTGCAGCAAAATTTTCTCACATGCTCTCTATAGGAGATATTTGTTACAGTAGAATTGGTTCTTTTTTCAATTCTTTTTCCTCCTCTTAAGGTTTGGACATCTAACTGTGGCTCACATCTTGTTGGAGAATGGTGCTGATCTCAATGCACAGAATAAGCTGGGAGCCAGTGTACTTACAATGGCTTCTAGAGGTGGCCATGTCAGTGTCGTGAAATTGTTGCTGGAATCTGGAGCTTTTGTTGATAATTATGACCATTTTAATACCAGTTTGGTTGACAACAGCAAAGAGGAACTGCCTGATATAACACCACTAATAGCAGCCGCCCAGCATGGATATGAGGCAGTGGTGCACTTGCTACTGGACTGGGGAGCTGATTGTAATTACACTGTGAAGACTGTGGGCTGGAGTCCTCTAATGCTGGCAGCTGTTAGTGGAAAGCTGAGCTTGGCACAACAACTCATGGACAAGGGAGCCAATCCTAATCACCTAAATGTGCTGAATAAAACACCTTTTGAAATCTCCATTGGCTTCAAACATAAAGACATGAAAGATTATTTGGAATCACTAACAACAATCAGACCCCTGACAGGTATGGGTTACTATTCTTTTGGTTTCTTTTCTGCAGGGTTTAGGTTAGACATTTTTGAGACATAAGAACCAAAGAGGTAGTAATTAATGTACATTTTATACTTTGAGGCACAGGGCTCTTGATCTAGATGTTCTTGGAGTGGATTTACTCACCTTTGCCTGCACACAGGTTTTCTCCAAATAATATGGAGGCATGTTAGTATTTCCATAGTTTTATGGCAACAAGACTGTGAATTTGACTTGAAAAATTAAAACAAAAAAATTGGTGTTCCAAGCGGGATCCTATTTGTGCTCTTTTAGGGGAAAATAAAAATATTTATCCAAAGGGTCAAAGATGTTGAAAAATTGAAGACAATTCAGAGAAGAGCTACGAGAATGATTCAAGTCTAGAAATCCTGCCTTGCAGTGAGAGACTAAAAGAGCTCAGTCTTATTAGTTTAACAAAGGGAAGGTTAAGAGGTAACTAGATCAAAATCTAAATACATCTACATAGGGACAAGAAATCTTATACCGGAGGGCTCTTTTCTTTAGCAGACAAAGGCAGAGTAACGTTGGAATGGAATGTCTAAATGGAAATAAGACAATTTTTTAACAAAGAGAATAATTAACTTTTGGAACAGACCACCAAAGAATGTGGTAAATTCTTTATCAGTTCAAGTTTTTAAAGCAAGATTGAATGTGTTTTTTAAATACATACTGTAGTTCATCCATAAATTTCTGGGTCTGATGCAGGAATTATTGGGCAAAAGAAATTATGCCAGCAAAATTTATGTCACTCAGGGAGTGTGTTTTTTCACACCCCTGAGTGACAAAAGTTTTGCTGACATAAGTGCTAGTGTAGACAAGGCCTTAATCCCTGCCATACATTGGGGTCTAGCTATATACTCTCAAAAGGGGCAAGGCAGCAGAAAGGGACACTCACATGAGTTTTGCAGCTCTTAAATATCTGCTAATATGCTGTAAAATGGCTGGCTGATGCGCCCGGTGAGGGAAGGAGAATTCACTCCCCTAAACAACAGCACACTTCAAATTTTCTTCTCAGGGTTTTTTTAAATACACAACATTAAAACAAAAACAAAACAAAATATTCTGGCTGCCCTACAGGGTGTTGTCTTAACCCTTGTCTCCAGGGCTTCACAGTCCTTATATGCTTTTGTCCAGGGGGTCTCCAGCTCAGGCTTTCTTGCAGCCAGCTGCAGTTCCCTGGTGTCTTTCTATCTGGCCTTTTACTTGACAGGTGCAAGGAGTCCCCCTTTCCAGGTCCTTTCCTGACCGAGGGTCTCTCCTTTCTGGCCCTTTGCCTAAGAGTTAGGAAGCATTCTATACAGTTTCCTCTAGTGCATGTGACTAGGACCAGGTATTACGTTCAACTACTGCTCCCAGTTTTAAAGAGTCCAAGGAATTCTCATTCTTCCTTTGGTTTCTCTTCTCAGCATTTGACTCTATGCAGTATTTTGGAATTACTCCCTGTGAAGTCCAGTTATGGACAGAAAACTGTCTGTGTAAAAATGGCAACTTCTAACTTAGTAGTTCTGTCCACCTTTTCTTGATTTCATTTCAAATATATCATTACTTTATACTTCTGTTAACACTGAATTGCCAATAATGCTTTGGAAGAGGGAGCTGGATTTATTATCTGACTTGTATACACAAAACAGAATATATCACTTTTCCCCTTAATTATGTGGTGCCAACAGTTCCTAGAGACTTCACAGAGATATATGAAGACAAACACCATGTCCTAAAAAACTTAAAATTGGAATAATTTCATATGCAGAATTTTTATCCTCTGACTGCCAGATGCTGGGACTGGAGAGCAGGGGATGGATCATTTGATAATTTCCCTGTTCTGGTCATTCTCTTTGAAGAATCTGGCATTGGCCACGGTCGGAAGACAGGATACTGGGCTAGATGCACCATTGGTCTGACCCAGTATGGCCATTCTTACGTTCTTTTATCATTGATAAAAGGATGGAGATGATGGCCTTGGAAAGGGGGTTTAGAAAAATATTTTTTTTATGTGAACTGAGCAAATTTGATGTGGAAATCCATAAGTAGAAATGAAAATGGAATCCCACAAAGCCATTTTTTTGCTAGGTTTCAGAGTAGACTTGCACTTTGGGGAATATTTACCCAGTGTTGAAGCTCACACATTTTATCCCAGAAATTCACACTAATGCTTTGAACCTTATTGTGGGCCTTCTGAAGTGAATGTCATCCTTTAACAGATATTTTACTGTTCCAGACACATTACTGTATACATTTCAAAAGATTTCTTTTCCTTATACAGAATAGATGTTGGGTGGCAAACAACTCTACTGATCCTTTATACAGTTTGTAGTCCTGCTCCTGCACTGAGAACCCTGCAGGTGGACCTCTGCTCCCACAGGGCCTATATTAGTTTCTTTATGCTTTCTTCTTTACTGATCAAATAGAAGCCCGAATGTACATTTTGGAATAAGATAATTATATATAGAATATTGTGACGGGGGTCCCACGGAGCCACTCTGAGGTTACTCAATTAGGGTGAACTGCAAAGAATGGGGCAGACAATCTGCAAAGCTGGTGGATATTCCAATACTTAGATTTACCAAGCCAGCATAAAACAGCTTCTATAATATATTACTGTTTACCCAGAAGCCAACAACACAGGTCCCTTAAAGCAGTGGTCACCAACCGGTCAATCGCGATCAACTGGTCGATCCTAGAGGATCTCCCAGTCGAATGCAATCTCTGGTGGTGTAGCGTGGCTGCTGCTAAGGCAGACTCCCTGTCTACCCTGGCCCCACACTCTCCTGGAAGCACCATACCTGCAACTCTCATTGGCCGGGAGAGCTGTGGGGGTGGTGCTTGCAGAGAGGAGCAGTGTGCGGAGTCACATGCTCCACACTTCCCCGCCCAGGGGCGCGTTAGCCCCTTCCAGGAGCGGTGTGGGGCCGGGGTAGGCAGGGAGCCTGCCTTAGCCTCGCTCCGCCTGCCGCCTGCCGCCGACTGGGAGCTGCCGGAAGTAAGTGCTGCTTGTGGGAGGCCACACCCCAATCCCCAGCCTGAGCCGCCTCCTGGAGCCAGCACCTCATAGCCCCTCATTCACCCCAACCCCCTGCCCCAGCCCTGACCCCCTCCCAGAGCCAGCACCCTGTACCCCTTCGTGCAGTCCAACACTCTGCCCCAGCCTAGAGCCCCCTCGTGTACCCAAACTCCCTGCTAGAGCTTGTACCCCTCACTCCCTTATGCACCCCAGCTCCCCTGCCCCAGGCTCAGCCCAGAGACCCCTCCCATGCTACGAACTCCTCGGCTGCAGCCCAGTGCCTGTACCCCTTCCCGAACCACAACCTACTACAGCCCGGTGAAAGTGAGTGAGGGTGGGGGAGAGTGAGCAATGGAGAGAGGGGGCATGGAGTGAGTGGGGCAAGTCTTTGGGGAAGGGGCAGGGCCTTGGTGAAGGGGCGGGGCAGATCTTGGGTTGCCCTTAGATTCAAAAAGTGATCTTGGGCGTAAAAAGGTTGGAAACCACTGCCTTAAAGCAACCCAGCTTCAGGCCTTCACCCAGACACCCAAGTCAAATATGATGAGCATTACTGAAAATCTTATTCATCATATAAGAAAGTTCTACCAATCCCAAAGGATCGGACACGTTACCTCCCATGTTCAGGAATACTTCAGATCTTACCCAAATATACGCTTACAGCCAATCCTTATTAAGTAAATTAAAAATTATTAAAAAAGAAAATAGAGAGCGTATTGGTTAAAAGATCAATATACATACAGACATGAGTACAGATCTGAGATCAGATTCATAGGAGAGATGGTGAGCTTTGTATTTGCAAAGAGTACTTTCAGAATTAGTCCAATGTCTATATTCAGGGTGGTCCAGATGAGACTGGAGATCTCAGTCTTATGACTTAAGCTTCCCCTGCATGAAGCATCAAGCAGACCTGAGATAAAAAAAGGATTAGGACCCAAGGGATTTTTATACAGTTCCAGGCCTTCTCTTGACAGCTCGGAGTCCTTAGGCGAAGATTCGTCAATCATGGAGACTTTGAAGTAGACCGATTTCCTAAGCATCATCAGTAATTAGCTACACAGATTAACATAAGGCAATTTATCCGTTAGGCAATTTATCACAAACTTTAAAGAGACATATAGACAATGACATTATTTCACCCAAGATTCATCTAAATGTTAATATTCCCTTTTGATCTCTGAATCAATATCTATTGTGACAGAGAGGAACTGTCTGTTTAGATGGGTAACATCTAATAAGATATAAGTAAACATACAATTAGTATCACTTGTAATTCTCTAACAATACAGGTTTGCATTTCACAGTTCTAGCCTATGTAACATGGAATGGCCCTAATTACCATGTACATACTTTTCTAACATGTCTCTAAAAGATTGACTCTGGGTCATTTAGCCTGCGAGCTGCTTAACCCTTTCTGGCCATGCGTCACACTTTGTATAAGATTTGTTGCAATTATATAACAGCGGTAGCAACAATGATTTGCCTGGTCATACTCTAATCAGATAACATCACAAATATATTTTTACTTTTTATGCTAAATTAATTGTACTAAAATTTTTTAGCTACATGACTCAAATTTTAATACAGATATTTGTATTTTCTCAGATAATGACAAGAGGCAACCTGATGTCTTTCATGCTTTGAAAATGGGTAAGCATTAAAAAAAAATCACCACCAAATCTATTTCTTGAGACTGTAAGGCAGGCTTACTTGCTAACATGGAAAATTGAAACAGTGTGTACTGGAGTTATAGGCTACTTTGCCCTTTCCTTACTATTTAGATAAAGATATGAACAAAAGCTACATCAGTGCTTAGCGTATCAAAGGACTCAAAATCAGAGGTTCTGACAAGCTAAAAAAGACATTCTCTGCCTTTGATTCCTTTGACACACTGGGAGGATATCAAAATGAGAAATCCACTCCGACATTTTCAGGACTCAATTACAAGTAAATAACAAGGTGGATGGGTGACAGTCAGCAAGAATTCTTCCTGCAGTGTTGCAGGAGGACAGGACTGTAACAAGAGCTGTGCCATGCTGATTCTGTCAGTCTTTCAAAGTTTGTATATAGTCCCTCAGTTCTTGCCAGTAGACTAGATGATGTGTAACTAGATTAATCTATCTTTGCCCTGGCTGAGACTGATGACAGGCTGTCAGGGGATGATGGGGTGGGTGCTGATGTCCCAACTGGTATTGACAATCAACTTCTCTAGATGACAACACTGGAGTATCTTCTGTATCCTCATGAGACCCCAGCAAGTCCAGGACATGACTATCAACCTGGGTGAGGCTTTGAACCTGTAGACTCCATCAGTACAGGAAGAGATCTATGCATTCTTGAGCATGACCTTGATCAAACTGACCATCTACATACAACCTTCTCTGATATAAGTGTTATCAAGAAGTATAACACTTAGGAACACAGTATAACACAGAGGAAGCACCCACCAGTGACTGGAAAGATAAGCAGACAAGAAATTAAAATCCAGTGCACACAGTGAATAGACTACCCAAACAAATTCAAAACAGATAAATTAAAATATTTCAGCCTTATGCTGATCAGTAAAAGTCAGCAGTCAACCATTCATGCAAAATGAGTTACCTAATCTACATCATAGCAACCTGGCTTGCTGACACCATTTCCCCCATGCTAGGTCACTTGGGCCCACCAACCCAGTCCACAGAATGCAAATTAGTAGATGATGTAGCCATAATTCTCACTTCCAGATTCAAGTGCAGGAAATATATACTTGAAACAAAATCTTTGCAGTTCATCTATCTGACCTATAAGACCAGGGACAAATCCAGACTGTATAGCCTGCTAATCCACAGACCTTTGGAGACCAGTGACTTTTTAGAAGAGCAGCTTGAGATGCTATCTGACATAGTAATGAAGAGCTGAAGATCTGTTGTCTTGAAAAACCAACATTCAAATGGATGATGCCACAGATGCAGCAGTACAAAATCTCTTATCCCTGCTATCAGGTGGGTTCTTTACCTTTCTTCTGCAAACCTGAGGTGGTGTGGTCTAGGTCATTCAGGACAACAAGTCTGTAATATACTGTGTCATCAAGCAAAGAGGAGCAACAATAGCAAAGTGTTTTGGCACTCAACAGTGAAAAAGTCCTTGAAGGGTCTAGCTAATGTTTTTCTACCAGTCAAAGACACAGTTACGATCTGGGATCTGATGCTCACTAACCTATCTATAAAAAGAGGCTTCCTGATGATGGTGACATGAATAAGGAGAGTAAGTAAACTATAGAGTCTTATGCCTGACCCTCCATTTCCAGTTTTTCGCAAGACCATGGTTATACATACCCACCCCAAGACCTTAACAAAATAATTAACTTTCTGGTGTGTGTGTGTTTCCCATAAGCTTCATGCACACCGTGAAGAAGTAAGGCTTTACACTGTGGATTTTAAGAGAGCTTTGAGTTATTACATAGATAAATCTAGGGTGTTTAGAAAATTACTTAGATTTCTTTTTATTCCATATGTGAAACATTGTAAGGGAAATGTCATTGCTTCTTGACATCCATCCAGATGGATTAAATTGTGCACAGAGACTTGTTTGCATTTTAGCTAGTGTTCCCAAATTAGACGGACTTTGGGCTAATTCAACAGGAAATACCTCCTGTGGTTGTCTTCATCACGGTCAAACTGAGAAGCATAGGATTATGTTTACACAATGATAATACCTAGATTTACCTCCAGATCTGATGCTAGATTTGGGAGAGTGCTTTTACAATTGATGTTCAATTAAAAACTCTTCAGCCCGCTTATCTCTGGAGTTTGTACTGCTTGTCAAACTAGCAATACTGAAAATGGGCAGAGACTACTCTGACAAAGAAAGGGATGATACTTGCCAATAACTGCACATCTTCAAGGGTGTTGCTTCCCTACATTCATGCTAACCACCCATCTTCCCTTTTTTTCCTCAGGGTAGGTCTACACTATGAAATTAGGTCGATTTTATAGAAGTCGATCTTTAGAAAGCAATTTTATACAGTCAATTGTATATGTTTCCACTAAGCACATTAAGTCGGCGGAGTGTGTCCTCAATACCGTGGCTAGCATCAGCTCACGGAGCGGTGCACTGTGGGTAGCTATCCCACGGTCCCCACAGTCTCCGCTGCCCTTTGGAATTCTGAGTTAAGCTCCCAATGTCTAATGGGGCAAAAAGATTGTCGTGGGTGGTTTTGGGTACACGTCATCAGTCTCCCTTCCCTCTTTTCCTCTCTCCCTCCCTCTATGAAAGCAATGGCAGACAATCATTTTGCGCCTTTTTTCCTGGATTACCAGTGCAGACGCCATAGCATGGCAAGCATGGAGCCTGCTCAGCTTACCGCTGCTGTCGTGAGCATTGTAAACACCTTGCGCATTATCCTGCAGTATGTGCAGAACCTGGCTAGGACCTGCCAGCATGAGAGTGATTGTGAGGAGGACATGGATACAGACGTTCCTGAAAGCACGGGATGAGGCAATTGGGACATCATGGCGGCAGTGGGGCAGCTTGATACAAAGGAACGCTGATTCTGGGCCCGGCAAACAAGCACAGACTGGAGGGACCGCATAGTGTTGCAGGTCTGGGATATTTCCCAGTGGCTGCGAAACTCTCGCATGCGTAGGGCCATTTTCCTGGAACTTTGTGAGTTACTTTCCCTTGCCCTGAAGCGCAGGAATACCAAGATGGGACCGGCCCTGACAGTTGAGAAGTGAGTGGCGATAGCCCTGTGGAAGCTTGCAATGCCTGACTGCTACTGGTCAGTCAGGAATCAATTTGGAGTGGGCAAATCTACTGTGGGGACTGCTGTGATCCAAGTAGCCAATGCAATCACTGACCTTCTGCTAACAAGGGTAGTGACTCTGGGAAATGTGCAGGGCATAGTGGATGGCTTTGCTGCAATGGGGTTCCCTAACTGTGGTGGGGCGATAGATGGAATCCATATCCCTATCTTGGCACTGGAACACCTTGCCAAGTACGTAAACTGCAAGGGGGTACTTCCCAATGATGCTGCAAGTACTGGTGGATCACAAGGGACGTTTCACCGACATCAACATGGGATTGCCAGGAAAGGTGCATGACGCTCGCATCTTTAGCTGTTCGAGCAGCTGCAAGAAGGGACTTACTTCCCAGACCAGAAAATTACCATTGGGTCTGTTGAAATGCCAATAGTTATCCTTGGGGACCCAGCCTACCCCTTACTCCCATGGCTCATGAAGCCGCACACAGGCAGCCTGGACAGTAGTAAGAAGCAGTTCAACTATAGGCTGAACAAGTGCAGAATGGTGGTAGAATGTGCCTTTGGACGTTTAAAAGCTCGCTGGTGCTGTTGCTGACTAGGTTAGACCTCAGTACAACCAATGTTCCCATTGAAGTATTGGGAGCATAAGCTTTCGTGGGTAAGAACCTCACTTCTTGCATCTGAAGAAGTGAGGTTCTTACCCACGAAAGCTTATGCTCCCAATACTTCTGTTAGTCTTAAAGGTGCCACAGGACCCTCTGTTGCTTTTTACAGATTCAGACTAACATGGCTACCCCTCTGATAATATTCCCATTGTTATTGCTGTTTGCTGTGTGCTCCATAATATCTGTGAGAGTAAGGGGGAGACGTTTATGGCGGGGTGGGAGGTTGAGGCAAAATGCCTGGCGGCTAATTTTGAGCAGCCAGACACCAGGGCAATTAGAAGAGTACAGCTAGGTGTGCTGCGCATCAGAGAGGCTTTGAAAACCAGTTTCATGACTGGCCAGGCTATGGTGTGACAATTGTGTGTGTTTCTCCTTGATGCAAACCCGCCCCTTTGTTGATTTTAATTCCCTGAAAGCCAACCACCCTCCCCCCTTCGATCACAGCTGGCAAAGGAAATAAAGTCACTATTGTTTTGAAACCATGCATTCTTTATTAATTAAAAAAAAGTGAGATAACTGACAAGGTAGCCCAGGTGGGGTGGGGGAGGAGGGAAGGACAAGGCCACATTGCTTATTGTTGCCACGCAACAAATCAAAACTGTTTGAATGACAGCCTTCTGTTGCTTGGGCCATCTTCTGGAGAGGAGTGGCTGAGTGCCCGGAGCCTCCCCCCCGCGTTCTTGGGCATCTGGGTGAGGAGGATATGGAACTTGGGGAGGAGGGCAGGCGGTTATACAGTGGATGCAGCAGTGGTCTGTGCTCTTGTTGCCTTTCCTGCAGCTCCACCAGATGCCTGATCATGTCCATTTGCTCCCCCATTAGCCTCAGCATCGCCTTCTGCCTCTTTTCATCGCGCTCACTTAATGCTTTCCTGGCCTGTGTCACTGAATGCCTCCATGCATTCATCTGTGCCCTATCCGTGTGGGAGGACTGCATGAGCTCGGAAAACACGCCAACATGAGTGCGTTTTTTTCGCCTTCTAATCTGTGATAACCTCTGGGACAGAGATGATAGGGGGAGCATAGAAACATTTGCACTTGCGGGGGGATAAAAAGGGAGAGTAGAATTTAAGAAGATACATTTCTGAGAAGAAAAGGGAGACTCACAGTGAATCAAGCAATTCATAGCAGACAGCACATGTGCTTTAGGTACAAGGTCGCATTTTGCCTTTTATATTGAGCGCCTGCTGGTATTGTGACACATCACACACGGCTGGGCAACAGAATTCAGTTTCCAGGCAGCCATGGTAAGCCAAAGGGTATGTGGGGTTGGCTTCTAATGCCTTCATAATATGTGGGAATGGTTTCAAACTGCAGCACCCTCCTTTCCCAGCGCAAGCAATGCTGGTTGGGTTTGCCATTTAAAAAGAGGGGCTGCGGTTTTCGGGTAGATGTGCAGGACACCCCTCCCCCAACCCCCCTGTGTGGCTATTCTCTGGGATGATCCCTTCACCCCTCCCCCCACCGCGTAGCTATTCTCAGGGATGATCCCTTTTAGCCAAGATCAAACAGCCCTGCATAAATGAGGTCCTTTTACTGTTCCCTTACAAAAATTCCCCTATTTCAACCAGGTGACCATGAATGATATTACTCTCCTGAGGCTAACACAGAAAGATATAGACCAAATGTTGCTTGAATGCGACCAAAACCCAGGACCATTCGCTGCCATGCTTTGTGCTGCAATGATTCCAGACTACTTGCTACTGGCTTGGTGTGGTAAAGTGTCCTACCATGGAGGAAGAAATAAGGCAGCCCTCCCCAGAAATCTGCAAAGGCTTTCAGAGTACCTCCAGGAGAGTTTCATGGAGATGTCCCTAGAGGATTCCCGCTCCATCCCCAAACACGTTAACAGACTTTTCCAGTAGCTGTACTGGCCGCGAATGCATCCCAATTCTTCAGGGCAAATCAAACATTAAACACAATTGCTTTTATCCCCTGTAGTGTAGTTACAAATGTGCACTCATCATAGGTGCCTTCTCTGGCTTCAGGGTCGGAACCCGCCTTGGGAGGGTATTGGCTCCAGGGTGATGAAAACGTCCTGGCTGCTGAGGAGAATGGATTCTCCGCTTGCCTGCTGCACATTCTCCTTCTCCTCCTCTTCCTCATCCACAAAATCCCCCTCCCTGTTGCATGAGACTCCCCCCTTGCAGGTGTCCACGGACAGTAGTGGGGTAGTGGTAGGATCCCCCCCAGAATGCCATGCAGCTGATCATAGGAGTGGCATGTATGGGGCTCTGACCCGGAGCGACCATTTGCCTCCTTTGTCTTTTGGTAGGCTTATCTGAGCTCCTTAACTTTCACGCAGCACTGCTGTTTGTCCCTGTTGTAGCCTCTCTCCACCAGGCCCTGTACGATTTTGGCATATATATTAGCATTTCTTCTTTTTGATCGGAGTTCGGCCTGCACAGATTTTTCTCCCCATACAGCAATCAGATCCAGTGTCTCCTGTTCGGTCCATGCTGAAGCTCGTTTGTGATTCTGGGGGGACTGCATGGTCACTTGTGCTGCTGAGCTTGCCACGCTAACCAAACAGGACATGAAATTCAAAATTTCCCAGGGCTTTTCCTGTGTACCTGGCTAGTGCATCGGAGTTGAAAGTGCTGTCCAGAGTGATCAAATTGCAGCACTCTGGGATAGCTCCCGGGGACCAATAACATCGAATTGTGTCTGCATTACCCCAAATTTGACCCAGAAAAGTAGATTTTAGTGCTACTCCCCTCACCAGGGAGGAGTACAGCAGTCAATTTTAAGAGCCATTTAGGTCAACAGAACGGGGTTGGTTGTGTAGACGCATTGCTTATAAAATCGACCTAACACGGCTAAATTCGACCTAACCTCATAGTGTAGACCAGGGCTTAGAGTCATCTCAAATCTGTTAAGATGCTAGAGTACAGTAGAAGTAACAAGGCCCTAGTGGCTAACAGGCTCCTTCGTGGTAAAGTTTCGACACCACGTTCGGTCATGAAAGTGAAACAGGATTTTAGGCCTGTTTTAAGTGCAAATCAAAGTGAAACCTTAACTACAGAGTCAGTACCAATGTCTCTATAATATTTAATGTACACATTTTATACACCTGCTCTAGGGATTTATCCTTGGAATTATGGGATAGTGTTGTGGTGCACAGGAAAAGACTGGAGGGAGCACTTTGTATGGGTACACTAAGCCTGTTTGTGCAAAACAGAACAGATACGCTGATCAGTTGAAGGAACAAATAGCACTACAAATTCTTAGCTGTAACATTTAAACTTGAAATAGTGCAGTTCTCTAATGTAGATGGAACTATAGTGTAGGTGAAGTAATAATATTTCTGTTGATGTTGCTATTTCATTTAGTTTTCATAGTACAATACGTTTTAAAGGTGATATATTTTGTTTCTTTATTTTTCTTTTTAAGTAAGAATATTTTGTCAATGTTAGCAAATCAAAATATGTATTAATTTAGAGGCTGAGAAATTGTCTATTCCTAATATACAGCATTATTCTGTTTTGTGACTTTCTTCATAGGAAATTTTCAGCTGGTTAAAGAGATTGTGGATGAAGACCCAAATCAGGTTAATATTATTAATGGTGATGGTGCTTCTCCACTGATGATTGCCGCTGTAACTGGACAGTTGGATCTTGTACAGCTGCTTGTTGAGAGAAATGCTGACATTGACAAACAAGATAATGTTCATGGCTGGACAGCCCTAATGCAGGCCACATACCATGGGTAAGTGATTTTCCCCCTTGATTAGTGGTAGGAGAGGGTTTATTCTACTTCGTAGATATGGACACAAAAGTAATCAGTTAGATATTGGCTCAGAATAGCAGAGGGCAACCTAACTAAAAATTCCATATGCTGATGCCAAGGAACAATAAGTCCTATGCTGGTGAGAAACACCAGGCCTCTCTTAGGTGCTGAAACTTGTGGTATTGTTGATGTGATTTTCCTCAGTGCTAGCTTCAAAAGAAGCTTCAGTTTTGGTATTGGGACCCTCAGGTTTCTCTAGCAGGTCCTATCTCCAGTAAGTGGCTTGGAGACCCAGGGTACCAAGCTGGTACCAAGTGGAAGCCTGTCAGGGCAGAGTAGCACTGGTTCAGAAGCCTCAGTCTCTAGTTCCATCAACCACTCTTCACCCCAAGGAGAATAAGAGGAGGAAAGTTCTCAGGGAGCCCCAGTTATTGAACCAGAACTCTCTTATGAAGAAACAGCAGAAGAAGAAACATTGCGACTATGGATCCAAGAATTGAATGGCAGATCTGGAGACTTCAGTGCTGGAGATGCTAAGTACCAAACTGGTTCTGCAGATAGCCGGAGCATTATAATTTGTTGCAAAGATTTTGATGTGAGGGTTCCACTGTTTCCTCCCATCAGAAGTGACGCCTCACTTTCTATGTTAGAGGGTTCCTTGCTGGTGCCAGTCCCACAGAATTGAGAGCCACCTAGGTTGTCTATAGACAATATCTGGACAAATTCTAATTCAGGAAAAAGAGCGTGCCATAAGAGGGAAGAGATGGAACATTAGCACTCTTTCACATATGTGACCAATTTTTTTTCCCTTAAAGAAATAAAGAAGTTGTTAAGTATTTGTTGAATCGAGGAGCTGATGTCAATCTACGTGCAAAAAATGGATACACAGCCTTTGACCTGATAATGCTACTGAATGATCCAGGTATGTTATGTCATAGAGCCCAAAGGAAATGCTTGCAATGACAGCACATGCAACAAGGAAAACATCCCTTCTAATTTAGAAAATACCTTTGAGTTGTAGAAAACAATCTCCCATGAGTTCCATGTGACAGAGAGAGATTATTTTCTAGAAACAGTATGCTTATTGGATTAAATGGTCAGATAGAAGTATATAGAAATTTATGGGTTATAACTTGTCCTGCTGCCTGATTTTTCAAGTGTGGTGTCAAAATGCAGTGTTTGTGTCACCAGTGTCTTTTCAGTGATGTTGAATTATGATGGCCCAAAGACACTCCTGTGACATCACTAAAAATATAGAGCAAAAATATAGAATAATTATAAAAGTGAAAGCTTCCATTTGCATAGATGGCTTAGTAACCAACAGTAAAGGGAAAGGAAAGAGAATGTGCCATCATCTGGAAAGTGGTGAACTCCTGGGCAAATCTCTTTTTTAGCTCTGTAAGATCGAGTAAAAGTCACATTTCAGGAGTCCAACATTTTTTTATTGAAAAACATCCTAGAAAGAAAGGAAAAACACCTTAAATGAGGCTTTGGTAAAATGTTTTTAATGTGTTTCTATTTAAGCTGTCAAATAAACCACTTTAGCTTACGTTATTTGGCACTTTTCTGTTATTCTTACCTGTATCTGAACTGGCTTTTCTGAAGCCAAAGAATGCTGTTTCTGATGGAATTAACCTTTGCTATCTCTGTATTTCCTCCACTCCATCCGAGAGAGAGAATGAACGAACAGGCAGAGGACCTCTTTAAAAAAAACAACAAAAAAACAAGGAAGGTGAAAAAAACTGAACACTAAATAGTTCTTAGTTCTGGTATCACCAGTTGACTATCTAGTGTTGAATGGTAATAATTAGAGGTGTACTGACATCTTGATTGGACAGTGTTCCAAGCTATACTGTGGGTTATTGACAGTACATATCTGCCTGTGACATGTCGCAATGTCACAGGCAAAAATGTAGAGAAAGAAAACTAATTCAGAAATTCTACTGCTTTGACAGGTCCTTGATACAGTGTGGGCAGGGAGCAGAGAGGAGGACTGCAGCAGAAGCCTAGGTGATCTGCAGGCAGTTAAACACTCAAGCTCACAAATCCCAGTCAGCTGGCAGAGCACTTCCCACTCCATGATCTTTTCAATTCAGGGCATCACAACAGAGACTCCTTTTTCAGCTGTGTTCTCTAAAGTTTCCCACTATTGCAGCATCACTTGTGGGAGCTCTGGTGTACACAAGGGACTGAAGGCTGTCAGTTCTTTAATCACTGACAAGTACCTGCACCTTCTCTGGATTGGAGCTCTCACTAGTAGAGCTGCACCCAGGGCAGCAATAGTGGGAAATTTTAGGGAAAAAAAAATCTACTGAAGTGTTTTTTCTTGTGGTGAATGTCAACTTGCAGAGCTGATGAAGGTTTCCGGTTTTCTACTCAGTCAGGCTACTGTGTAGGCCAGTTCTTTCCTTCTGGAAGTTTCTTCTGGTTCTGCTGGAAATAAAGTTTTAATGAACTTTTTTCCAGCATCAGCACTGCAAAGACACACATATTTAGTTCCAAATACAAAATGTCCTTTCCCCCCCTAATAAGTCATGTTATTCCAATCCTTGTGCTTACTAACTCTGGACACTCAAGTATCCCTCCCAGCCACTGTCAAGTCTTCCACTAGTCCATCTCCCCTTAGATCATTCGCTCCCCTTCCACTGCAGCATGTAAAATAAACTGGGATGAGATCTTCAAAAGCACCTAAGTTAGCAAAACCAGTCCCATTGAAAGTCCTAGCTCCCTTAGGTGTTCCTAATGCCCTTGGATCTTGTCTTTGTGACGCATTACTGCTCGGCAACCAAAGTGTGAGTGTACAGTGCACTAGTTTGCTGTGCAGTAACATCCCATATGGACACTGCTACAGTGCATAAAAGGTCCACAGTGCGCTTTGACATATGGCTCTTTGAAATAGCTGGCCACACAGTAACATAGACAAATCCTTAGACGCTTTTGCAAATCCCATCTCTAACCCTTGTGTATTTCATTAAAAGCTTTGGGGGGAAATCCTGACCCCAGTGAAGTTAATATTAAAACTCCTGTTGTCTTCAGTGCTGTCAAGGACCCACACTTTGTTTTTAGAACACTTATTGCCAGTATAAAATATTACTTTGCTAATGTATATCTCGCTTGTGGTTTGTTCTTCTCTGTCTTTCCTCTTTCATTCACTCCACTTTGTTTTTTTCTGCTTTGTGTCTTGGTGTATTCTCCATCATTTTCACTATCTTGTTTCCCATAGATTAATTTTTACACAGTGTTTAATGGCTTTTAAAATGTGCAATTTATTTTTTCTCTAGATTCATTATTGTCATTTTTTTTTGTCTCACAGATACTTTTTTTGATTCTGTCTCACTCTTCAGCATTTTTTCTCTTCAGGAGTCTCTCTTTCTTTCCCTCATTTTGCCTTCCCATCTTCACCCTTATATCCATTCTTTCTGTCCTCTCCCTCTTTTTTCTGTTTTTTCCTTCCTTTCTTTCTTCCACTTCTTTTCAGTCTCTTTGTTGTTTAATCTGAGCATTGCTCTTCCCTCTGGAATTTGTCTTCAAACTTCCTATCTCCAGCCTATGCTCAAGGAAAGAGAAAAGAATATCCTTTCTCTCTGCTCTCTTCTTCTGTCTCAGGTGAGAAAAAGTAGCTTCTCGATGTTTTTCTTACCCCCCATCAAGCAACTGTCAGGTTCATTTGTTAAAGTGCTCTTGATTCTGACTGAGCGGAGCTCTTCTTGCTGTTCAATACTCTTTAGTCTTGTTCTAGTGAATCAAACACTGATAGTGCTTCTGTAGATTTGGTGGTATAAGTACCACTGTGTAAGTGAGCAGCTCACTGAGCGCAGGGCCACCATTCAATATTTGTGGTCAATCCACCTTTGTATCTGAATGTTATGGAAGTTTCACCTGGAGAAGAATAGAGAGGGAGGGGAAAACAGGGAGCCCTTGGCACCAGAACTTTAGACATATGTGTCTGGTGCTGTTGCCTTACACTCCCATAGGATGCATAGGAGAAGCTTCAGCACATCAATCCTGGATATATATTTGAGATGAAGGGACATTTACAAGTAAAACAAAACAAAACAAACAAAAACTAATTTTGTTTTCTCCAGACACAGAACTTGTACGTCAACTAGCATCAGCCTGCATGCAAGTAGACAAAGACAAGGGTAAGCAGAACAACAAATCGTCTTTGCCCTGTTCTAGAAGTAGGCAATCTTTAAATACCCTGATGTTGCCAGATGACAAGGGAGGATTAAAGGTAAACAAATTTCATATGTACTCTCTCTTTGATGATTTCTGCATAAATAACAAATATACAACTTACTCTAAGGTATGAAGTGTGGAAAGTCACCACACGGAAGTGTTTTAGACCTAGGACATAACTAACATATTTGCTTTCTGCAAGCCAAGTATGCATTAGTCCTTTCTGATTTTCTAAGATGTGGATTGTGGTAGACTTTTTGGCTGCTTGAGTGGTGGTAAGGAGATGGGGTGGAACTGTTTCTTTAATTTTAGAGGACAGTTGATATAAGCACCCTTACAAAGAAACTTATTCCAGAGTGGGAAAAGTCACTGTGTAGTTAAGGTTATAACTGAGTTTCCATTTTAATCCTGATTTTAGTTCTCATTCTGAAAAAAGTTGTATTGGCCTAAAATTGGTTAGGTTACATCTACAGCCAAGTTAGAATTTTTCTACAGCATTCAAAGTGAATGGGATATGAGGTTTAATTAGTATTGTGAGCGGAAGAGGGGGATGTGGGCTGCTCTTATGTTGACAGTAAAATCAGTTCGCTTCACTGCAGAGTTTGCAGTTCCAGCTCTGCCCATCCCCTCTCTGCCAGAGGAGGAGGCTGGGACAGGGCAGAGGTGTAAGAGTAGGGAGCACCAGAGCACTGCTCCATGCTCTGCAATAGAGAGAACTGCTCTAAGTGTCAGTGCTGGGCCAGCTATTTGGCTCCAAAGCTCAGGGCTCATGTGAGGAAAGGAGTCCCTACCCTGAAAAAAAGGGGACATTAGCAGAGTTCATCTCTGAGAGTGGTGTCAGATCTACATTTCATCCTCTTTCTGTGGTCTCACCTGCTGCATCAAGGGTAAGGTGATGGGACCATTCAGACAGCCCCACCATACTGTCCCCCCATAACAGTCCCAGGGGTTAGAGTTGTGATTTCTATCCTCCCAGGTAGTGCTGTATTCCCTCTGCCTGGAACTGCAGGTGAGTCACCGGCTGGGGAAGCTGTTAGGGGAGCTGGGCTGGCACTACAGCACTAAAGTTAGTTTTAGAGGCAAGTTGTCCATGTGCCAGACAGCTGAAGGTGCTGTAGGAGGAATATTGATACCAGCTCCACTCCTCCAGCAGCATGCAGGATAGGGCTGAACGCTGCATTCCTTACAGACCGTCAGCTTCTAGCTCCTCCCTCTCTTTGTTCCCTCCAGGCTCCCTGCTAGGCTCTGAGGGGGCAAGGAGAGGATGAAAGCAGGCGGTAGCTGCAGCTCTATCAAGAACGGAGATCTCAGCTCTATTATATAATGGAGTCTGTGCACTCATGTTTGCATTCCATGCAGGGATCAGAGTAGACTCTCGAAGATGAAGAGTATAACTAGGAGCTCTTTGAGTGGGACCCAGGATCCCAATATGCTTGCAGAGGAGGCAGCTAAGCTGGGTTGGTAAAAGGAGGAACCTCAGGGTGAAGGACCTTCTGTATCAGATATGCAGCTTTCTATTGTAAAATGTATTGACGAAGGCTAAGTTTTGTAGGCTGGTAAAATATGGATTCCATCAAATGGCTCCTGCAAAATTTGGGAAGCACAATTATTTAACTACCTCAGGATCTGGTGCATTGGCCGTCTGGATCACATGCTGCTGTAATGCACTATTGCCCTGCAGACTTCACCACAACGGCACTGATTGAATATTTCATTCCCCAAATGAGACTCAGCTGATTGGTAATTATCCAGAACAGCTGTCTTTCACAGAGCAATTCCCATTTTTTTGCAGAATAAGGGGAGCTCTCATACTTGTGATCTGGTACTGTAGTACTGCACTACAGAGCAGACACTTTATCCTGAAGTTACATAGCCGCTGCAGTTTAGCCCAGGTTTCAAGAACAATTCTGCCCCGCCAGCCTGTGGTTGTGCGCCAAACCCACAAGTGGCATGCCATCTACAGAAGATCTGCGAATAGCGTATAAGGCCATCTACTCATACCCCAACCACCACTGCTTACCTGTTGTTATATGAATGCTCTGAATTGCTGGTCTTGGCTCTTTCTTCCCAGAGTTACTCTCAGAACAACCACCACTGCCATCTTGCCACTCACTTTCAGGGACCTTGCTGAGCAAGGAACGAGATCAGAGCTTTCATCCTGGCTTCCATTTTTGAGGAAAAGGACAGGAAACAGTGCTGGCACCAAGGGATTAACGGGATTTACCCCTAGAGAATTATGGGAGTTTGACTTCTCTTCTGAGTTTTGAGAACTTCAGGTAGCTGTACTGGAACTGCAGAGAAGGTAGACAGAGGGCAGATGGACTGCACTGGTGTAGTATAGTGATAGTGTTGATGTGAGACAAAGCTGTACCTGAAACAGCCTGGCTAATATGTACATGGTATACTGTAGATACTCACAGAGGAGCCATCCCACCAATTTAATTCCCAATTGTTCAGTTATCCCATGTAGGCAAGGCCTTTGGAAGATGTTAATAACTGCACAATATTGCTCATTATGTTGCTGTGTAATGTACCTTATGAAAATAAAATTATTCACTTACCATCAAGTGATGTACTGTGACCCAGTACCTCCTCTCGTTGTCCTTGTAACAGTGACCAGGCTAAAACTGCCCAGATCTGCAGGATCCACAGTAGTCAGAGAAATCTAGGCGTCACCGCTTCTCCTAGTGTCTCTGAACTGTCGTATCCTGTTCATCAGGTCCCCAGCTTACTACAAAAAACTCTGTAGGGTTTGCCTTGAAGCTCCAGTCCTTTCAATCCTTTTGCAAGCACCAATAAAAGCATATGGATGTTGGTAGAAAAAGTATTAAAATACAATCAGAGCCGTCCCTTGGGTAGGGCAAATCGGGGCGACTGCTCCGAGCCCTGCGCTTTGGGAGGCCCTGTGGTCCGGTGCGATTGGCCGGTGAGGTCAGTCCCCGAAGAGACGAATCCGTGACTTCCACCCCCGGTCCCGCACCCCCTTAGGGATGGCCCTGTCTACCATAATAAGTTCCTTTGCTCAAGAAGTACAAAGAATTTTTTAAAAATAGGTAATACGCATCCCAGTTTCATCAACCTTGTGCTCTAATGCAAAACCTTAACAGCGATCTGTGTATTGTTAAAATAGAATAACTTTACACACATATTGATGTTATGACAGTAAGATATGCTAGATCTTGATACTGGAGAGCATGACATTAGAGTATGAAGTTGTGAGTTGATTGGAAGATTAAATACTTAGCACTGTAGTTTTAAAACTTCCCAGCCAAAGTACCTGAGTAAATGCATATGCTTTGTTTTCACAGACAACTTGACTATAGTGGGGAAAAAAATATGGAAAACTATTTACTAGGTGCAAAAATTGACAAGAGGTAAATCTCATCCCTTCAAATTCACAATTTGACAATGAATTTCCTGTGATAGAAAAAATGTGGGGAGAGACAGGTATAGATTTTAAAATGGAGCTTGAAAATTCATTCATTCATTAATTCATTTAGATGTATTCTACTTCAGTGTAGCTTTATATACCTTATATTTTATAATATGTTAATTAGTTTTACTTTTTATTAATTTTAAAAATACTTTAAATCAAATGTTCATGTTAACACAGACAAACCTGTAATTTTTTATACATCTGTATTATCTATATCTACCTGTATCCGTACATATAGCTGCAATTCAGTCCAGGGCAGAGCTTCCCAAACTTTTCTTATTGTGTAACTCCTTCCATATCTACCAGCTGCCCATGTAACCCTCATCACTGATACTTTGTGTGTTCTTCTTAACACCACATGTCTTTAGCCATCTATCCATATTTCACTGTTACATACAGATATAGTTATAGTGCTATGTATACAACCAAAAACAACCCCCCTGACTAAGTTCTGAGCTCAGACTGGACAGTTGCTGAGCAACTGAACCCACACTATGCAGTGATTAGAGGTGAAGGCTCTGTACGTCAGCGTCTCTGTGTATCTGTGCTCTCATTGGTACATCCTGAAGTAGATTAACTACCATATTTTATATAACAAATTCCCATGGAGTTTTAAAGCTTCATATGAGTAATCTATTATGAAAATGTAATAAATAAAATAATTAATAGATAAAATCCAGCATTACACAATTTCTCCTGTGTACCCCCCAGTGATGTCTTGCGTACCCCCAGGGGAACCCCTGGTCTAGGGTATCGGGTGACACTGGTAAACTGCTCTAATGTCAACTCTTCTAGTATATCACTAAAACTCCTTGCCAGAATTATAGCTTTGTGCGAACTGAATTAATGTAACTTTTCTTTTACTTATATGTTAGAACAAAGTTGTCCTGTCTTCTCATCCCCCTAGTCATGGTGGAACAGGATGTCCAATAGATTCCGTAAGCTGAAGTTGACCCAAACATTGCGTCATGGATTTTCCACCAGTCAGTCTGTGCCTTTTACTGATGAGCCCGAGTCATCTCTGAATTCCACAATAAAAGCCACTTCACAGTCTGATGTGAACAACTCTGGAAACTGTGATGCTGCAACAGCTTGGACCACAAATATCAAAACTAGTGGTAAAGTCAGAACTGCTTATATGATATATGGGAAGTGTTTTATCATCTGGTAGTTTACATGGTACCATATTTAATGTAATGCATTTGCTACAGATGAAAACATGTAATAAGTATGCAGTATATGGAAAGAGACTGCACAGAGAGTTATTTTATCAGACTTCTACTGTTTTTGGTTAGTGATTGCTGCTGAACAATAATTAGCATCACCCAGGAAGGAAGCTGCTTAATATCATGTATGTCATTATTGTGTGCTAGAAAATACCCTTGAAATGGGCAGTAGATTCATATTAGAGAAAGAAGGTGGGTGAGTAATATTTTTTATTGGACCAACTTCTGTTGGTGAGAGAGACAAGCTTTTGAGCTACACAGAGCTTTTCTTCAGGTCTGGGAAAGGTACTAAGAGTGTCACAACTAACTACAAGATCGAACAGATAATTTAGCACAGCGGTTCTCAGCCAGGGGTACATGTACCTCTGGAGGCACGCAGAGGTCTTCCCAGGGGTACATCAACTCATCTAGATATTTGCCTAGTTTTACAACAGGCTATGTAAAAAGCACTAGCAAAGTCAGTACAGACTAACATTTCACACAGACAATATACTCTATATACTATACACTGAAATGTCAGTACAATATTAATATTACAATTGATTTATTTTATAATTATATGGTAAAAATGAGAAAGTCGGCAATTTTTCAGTAATAGTGTGCTATGACACTTTTGTATTTTTATGTCTGATTTTGTAAGCAACTGGTTTTTAAGTGAGGTGAAACCTGGGGGTGGTACGCAAGGCAAATCAGACTCCTGAAAGGGGTACAGTCATCTGTAAAGGTTGAGAGCCATTGGGTTTAGCATAAGTAGTTAGCACATATTCTAAGAGAATATTCAAGGTGAATTGGCCTGTTAACATCCCTGTTAGTCATAGAACAAAAAGGGGGGTTAGTGGGTTTGAACCCTGCAGTTTATAATGTAAAATATTAAAACAGCAGTGGCCCAAATTCATCTTGGGTACGTTGCCAGGGAAGTCAATGAAGTTGCATGAGGGATAAATTTATGCCATTGTATTTACTGGGTGAAACTGTTGTGGCATACAATACATTTGTCAAAGTTATCCTTGGGAATAAGCATTTGGAGTTTTTAAATATCCTTTATGTGTTTTTCAGGTGTATGCACAAGAGCAGGAAAGGATGATGAATTATTGACAACAATGGTATGTTACAGTGCTGTCAATGTGCTTAACACTGAATAGAACGTCATGCAACTCCCACTCAATCATATTTACAATCCAAATTAGACAGGCAGCACAGTTCACTCATATTATCATACAAATGATACAGTGTCCCCATTAGTAAAAGAAATAGCATTTGCTGATGATCACCCGACAGTTGTATCCAAACTGCTGTATTTTTTCTCTTTAGTGAGAACAGGAAATAACTGCAATATTGCAGGTGGTATGGATTGGTAACTCTTGGTAAATATTGACTTTTATAGCAAGTACCATCCATTGATTGATGGATGGACTTCTTATGGTCAATAATGACTTAAAAAGAGATCACTTGGTTAGTTGGTTTATTGCTGAAAAGCCACATGAAGTATTGTGTTTTAAGGAAGAATTTGAATGTAGTAAGAGAGATGTCTTGGCAAAGAAATGTAGGGGATGTAACTCAGACTTATTTCACAACCATTTACATGAATGAATATGTTCTGTTAGATAAAAAGGTAAGCTATAGTAAAATTCACGATGAACAAGCCATTGTGCATTTTCAGCAATTTTTAACCTATCTCAAAACCTTCACTTTTTGGAGAAAGTTACAAAGAAGGTATAATATAGATTCCTCCTCTCCTTTGTTATACTCCAGTTTCAGATTCTGTTATAATCTAGAGACTGCATTATCTTCAGTTGATAACCTCCTCTTGGCAATTGTAAAAGGTCAAAATACCCATGTTGATTTCATTAGATCTTAGAGAATCATTTATTTGATATGAGGGACAATGTGTTGTTGACTGAGGGAACTGGGGTAGAAAAGAACTTCAGTTTTTCTTCTTATTCTTTTCCAGGAGAACCCAAAGGGACAGAGTAAGAAATTGTTCATTCTTTCCCAGGGTCTCATCTGGGAACCTACAGAGTTTTTATTTTGTCATTCCTCCTGTTTATCATTTGGAAGTGACTAATTAACACTCCTGTTGACTTCACTGGGAGCCAGGAGTAGGTCCAAAGGAAGGAATGAAATAGATTTATACTTAACAGGGCAACTTGCACCATTTAAGGGAGCCAAGTTCAGTATATTACATACACAGGGTTTATGATCACAGCTTTAATGGTCATTTGCATTGCTTCTGTTTGTTATTCTGTATTGTATATCTTCAAATATGTTTATGTCTTGATTAAATTGTTCTTTTGCCTGTTTAAAATACCCTTACTCCCCCACCATCCTTTTATTCTGACAGTGTATATTAAAAGTCTTCCATTCTCTACATAGCTTCATTTCCTATTTTAAATGCATATAATTAGAGTCAAATAAATCTTTCTAAAAAGAGGTAATTTCTTTTTCTTCTCAGTTAAGAAGTGGTGCTCCATTTACTAGGCTACCTAGTGATAAACTGAAAGCAGTTATTCCTCCTTTCTTACCTCCTTCAAGTTTTGAGCTGTGGAATTCTGACCGAACACGAATGAACAAAGATGGCAAGACTGAACAGATGAGGACTGCCTTGCCACAGCGTGGGATCAAACATGATTTTAACAGCAGTGCAAACTCTGACATAGTAAGTGAATGCATTGTACAACAAAATATTGCATATTGTTACCTCCAGGAAATTTTGGTTGATAAGACACAGTAGTTTGATAGCTGTCCCTCAGACTGATGGTCCTCTTGGATTCTTACAACATGTAGCTGTGAGAAGAACTTGTAGAATCATGTATTTTCCATTGCAAGTTTTTTTTAAATTTCCATATCTTTAGAATGGTTTGTCCCTGTAAACTCAGCTACTCTGGAAGAATATACTTCCCTAAGAAGAGAAGCATAAGTAGAGTAAGAGCTTGCATGCCACATTTTTCCTTGAATACAATAAGCTCCAGCACTAAGATGTATGAGGCCCTGGGTTCATTCCCCAGCATCTCTACCAACGCGGGAGGGATAGCTCAGTGGTTTGAGCATTGGCCTGCTAAACCCAGGGTTGTGAGTTCAATCCTTGAGGGGGCCATTTAGGGATCGGGGGCAAAAATCTGTCTGGGGATTGGTCTTGCTTTGAGCAGGGGGTTGGACTACATGACCTCCTGAGGTCCCTTCCAATCCTGATATTCTATGATGGGTTTGTCACAAATTGCTGAGATGATCATAGATTCTAAGTGAGATGGTTTAGTCCTCAAAGTAAGCCTCCTGGGGGGAGCAGGGGTACTTTGAGTTGGAAGTGAGTTCAAGAAGGAAAGAGGGGGGGAAAAACAACTGAACTGAAAGAAAACAAATCAGTTACCTGTAAGTCAGACATCATAAAGATGACAGGAGCATGAGTGGAAAATGTGTGGAGGGAGCAAAGCAGAAAAGGGCCAAGTATGGAGTCGGGGAGGCATTCACTCAAGGGCTAGAGGAGTGGAGAAGGACCCACCAAACCAGAGACTGATGAAGGAGCAATCAGACAGGTAGGAGAACCACCATAAGAGGACATAACTGCAAAAGCCACTGGAAGATGGAATTTCAAGGAGTGGATGTTGATGTAAAAGAGTTCAAGGAGGATGTGGATGGAGTTAAAATAAAATGAATAAATTAATGGAGATATCCTATTTCCTAGAACTGGAAAGGTCATTGAGACCAGCCCCCTGCCTTCACTAGCAGGAACAAGTACTGATTTTGCCCTAGATCCCTAAGTAGCCCCCTCAAGGATTGAACTCACATCCCTGGGTTTAGCAGGCCAATGCTCAAACCACTGAGCTATCCCTCCCCCCAAAAGCTCTACACTCTTTCCACACTGGGAATTGAACCCGGGCCACCTGGGTGAAAACCAGAGGCTTTAGGATTTGGCCAGAAAATCATTAGAGCCTTTAGTGAGAACACTTGCTGTGGAATGAAAAAAGGTTGAAGTGGGATTAAAGAGGGTTGAGAATGGAGTCGGAAGAGAGCAGTAGTTGTAGTTTAGTTAGTATGGAGGGGCAAGGGGATGGTAGAGAAGCAGGTAGTGAGCCCAAGCATGTTTTTATAAGATGGGGGAAACTAGAGCAGGACTTCGTATTAGATAAATTTTACATGTGATTTTATGTACCGATTGTGAGCCTTTGTATTGCTCATGTTATACTGATGACATTTTTATTCAAAAATCAGAGGAAGAGGACTATTTTATGTTATTACTTTATTCCTTGTTGAATTAGGATTTTGTAATGTTCAAGAAAATAATCATATTCATTTCTGATATCTATTTTGATCCTCAGAGAAAGTCTATCCTTTATGGTAAGTAAAATTGTGTTTAAAGCTTTATCTGCCATTTCTTCAAGAAAGAAATGAAAAAAGGTGTATATATTTCTTGCTCTTTTAGACATCTGTTACCAAAGGTACTAGACCGGTCAAATTGCCAACCTTTGCAAGAAGACCTGCTTCTCCCTCAAATTCAAGCAACTTCAACCACTCGCCACACTCTTCTGGTGGATCCAACAACATCGCTGGAATTAACAGACATGGTGGAGAACTCCATAATAGATCAGGTGGATATATTTTTTTAAATTTCATATATAAAAATCATTAAGACAGATTCAGCTAGGTAATCTAAATTTACAGGTAAGGTAGAAATTACACAAGTGCTTGCAAAACTGCCATTAACTTTGTTGGAACAGGAACCACAGACAGTCACAGTAGGGGACTAAGAGCCCAGTCATGCATTTGGAACCACAGAAGCTGACCCTGCATCTGAGGAACCTCAGTGACTTTAATTGGGGTACATCCATACAGCTTAGATTGCAGGAGTGGGTATGCTGTCCTAAAGGACGTGTTTCTACCTTAATATTTCTTTCATGAATGTTAGTCTTTTTTTCACGTATCACTTCTTTCTGGTTGAATTTTTTTTAATTAAAAGAAACAAAAATCAAATCACCAGCATTCATGCCATGCCTATCCAAAAGAAGACATTCCAGGCATAAAACCTGTTAAAAATACATGTCTGCTTTATCCCATTTTCGTATATATTATGGTAGAGACTTTCATAGCATGATCGCATAACATTGGATAATGTAATTGAAATTGAAGAATATTTATTGTGTAAGTATGGGTTAAGTCTATGGAGGAACATACATATTTCATAAAGCAATTGTGGTAATTTTAACATGCCAGAAAAGATTTTGACTTCAAAACCTGTTGTAGCAGTTTAACATGGGACAGGTTCCCAAAACACAGAACAAAAGATCATATCACTGAGAAATGTATTTGATACACATCACTGGAAAGGATCTAAAGATTAAACCCATTTTCTAAATATAAAGAAATATATTTGTAATATTTTGACACAGAACAGAGGTTACTGGCACCTGTCAGTCCTCCCAAGGGCATGAACCTGTCTGGAGCCACCTGAGGATTCTTTACTGATTATCTCAAAAAGAGCTACATTAACTAGCAAGTATCACTAGGTGAAATTCTTTGGCCACTGTTATGCAGGAGGTCAGACTGGATGATCGCAATACTGCTTTCTCCTCTTGAAATCCATAAAATTAATACTCCTTTTGTCTGCCATTTTCCTCCCCAGTTCAATGGGGTTATATTATTGCAGCTGTAGACTGGGTTTTTTTTCCATGTATTTTCATCTTGAATGTAAAAGGTGTTTTTCACCAAGAGGGAATTGCTAGGGATTTCAGATCCAGGGTGGATAGAAACACCCCTTTCATTCTACACATAGATGAGAAACCACTTCAGCTCATGGTGGAAAAGAGCTGAATAATCCTTCTCCATTGCATCAAGCATTAGCCACCCCAGGTCCTCATGAACTGTTGCTGGTTCAGATAAAGTCTAGCCTTACTAGGGGGATGCTATGATTTTTGCGTTCAACAACAGATGGTCACTTGAGATTTTGGGACTGTTTTAGAGTTTTCTCCTCATCTACCAAATATATTTTATTATTTGTACTAGGGTACTACCTAGAGGCCCCAATCAGGATTGGGGACCCCATTAAGCTAGGTAGTGCACACAAATTAAAAGATGGTCACTGCCCCAAAGAGTTTACAGTGTAAACCCCCAACCATGGGAAGAAAGATACCCTCTGTAACTCTGCAATGTTACTGCCACTGCCCAAATTCTTCTGACAGCAGCATCTACTCCCCATATTTTATTATAACCTGAGAATTAGATGGGCTTCTCCCTATGCTGTACCTCTTCCCACCCAATCTGCTGAGCCAGAAAACTAATATATGGATGGAAGTCTAGCAGCCCTACTCCAGTAGATCTCTGTTCAGTTGATTTAATAGGATGCATCGCCTCACAAACGTGGCCCCCATATACCTACCTGGAGGCCACCAACAGGATCCCCAAGGGGCTGGCCTATAAAAGGTCTCCCACCTTGGGGAAGAGAAGACCAGGAGCAGCAGAGTGTTAGAAACAACATGGATGTGTTTCAGAAGCCCAGCGACCTGGTGGGTTCATCAGAAACATCTGAGTGATTTTCCTGTCTGCAGGCAATGCCCCTCAGTAGGATTTGAGGAAATATTTGCAACTAAAAATGTGTTTCTGTCATCATCTCAATCATTTTGCTTACATGCATCTCTTTTCTCCTCACTTCATTTGTATCTTTTCATATTAAGAAATTCTTCAGGTTCAATTCTGGTTCTGTTAAAACCAGTGAACATTTTGTCACTAATTTTCATAGATCCAGAATTTCACCCTATGTCTTCATAGGGCCCCTCACACGGTAAGACCCTGTTACAGGGAAAGCTGGTCCTTTAAGGAGAATTTAGGCCCATCTCTCACCAGTGCCTAATTTCGTGCTGAATCATGGGACTTCAAGTCCAGGGAGCATTAACTGAAAGTGAGCAAGCCCCTGGGAAGGAAGAAGCATCCTATCAAGAGCTTCATGCTGTCAGTAGGGGGAGAGATTCAAGAAGAGTAGCAGCTGATTAGGGAAACTCTCCAGGATCTGGTGTATATATCAAGGCTGACACAATTCCCTGTGAAGGAGACAGAAACAAAACCTGTGAGAGGCTTGGCTGAAGAGACCTGAGCAAGAACTGGCCAGAGACAGGCATTGTAAGGGACAGGACGATAATGGAGAACGGCAGTCTTGGGTTTGGAGCAGATTGCTGCTCATGGTGTAGGGGCCTGTAGTAAATGGAGGGCACAAGACACCTCCTAGAAAGGTCATGTGCAAGCTCCTGCATTGAGGAGAAAAAGGACTGTTAAGCCTGAAGTACTGCAAAGTCTGACTGATCCCTGCAATGGAGATTATTGTCAGCTCTTGATAGAAGGGGAGAAGGAGGTCCCCTGTGTCAAAGGGTGAAGGACTACATAGCTGGCAAGGGGGAAAGGACTGCTGAAGCCTGAAACACCTATTTTTGTGTGTTTGGACTTATTTACCCTGGAAGGAGAGAATTTTTACTTTGACTGTTGGGCCAGAGAACCAGATCATCTTATTAATCCAGGAAGACAGTCTCCAGTAGGGGAAATGAGGCAGCAGGCACACACCTGACACCAGAGAGAGAAACACAACCCCAGTATGCCCCAGTTCTGACTGGGACCTTTTGGCACTACAAGTAATAGTAAGACCAGCATGACTATTAGTGTGTCACTAAACACTTCAGCCTTGCTCTTCTCAACCCAGGCAGCATTTTCAAAGATGGTTATAATGCTTGACACCCTTTGTCCAGAGGGCAAACCCATCTCTGTTAGCAGTACATAAACCTGGAATTAGTACCTGGATCCTGTTGTCCTTTAGAGTTCAGTGAAATGTATAATTAGAAAAAAGTTTGAGTTTGGATAAAAATAATTGAAAAATGTTAAATTTCATTGGTCAGGCATCCCCCTCTTCTCCTGTCCTGCTGGAATTACAAAACAGCTAGCGAAACCTGGAGACAAAGAGTAATGGAAGGATACACATAGGCTGACCCCCCACATCCAGCCTTTTAGTCTTTTCTTTGCCACTTTCTTGGAAGCCTGGAGAGCAGCCCTCAGCCTTCTGTCTCCAGCGCTTTAGATAGTCTTTGCTGGCTTTAGCTTTCCCCTCATTTGTCAGCCTTTCAAGTATTTTCCCTCTCCTGGTGTCTGTTCACTTGCACTGTGGCAAAACAGGCTACTGCCACTGTCTTGATACTTCCCAAAGGTGGTGGCTGCCTCCCCATATGTTTTGCTTCTGCTACACCTGATACGCTAAGGGCTACTGCAGGATTTGAGGACCAGTAGATTAATAAGTGGACAGGTGAACAGTTTCAGATAATAATGCTTACCATTTATATTGTGCTTCATGCATTCAAAGCACTGTACAGAGATTAATAGATAAATGAGGTGGTGGGTAAGTATTATTGTCCTCATTTTACAAATGGGGAAACTGAGACAGAAGGTTGAAGTGTTAATTGCCCAAGGCCACTCAGTGAATCAGTAGCAGAGCCAAGATTAGAATTTAGGAACATCTGTACTCATTTATCAAGTGTATGCTGCCTTCAAAGTATCTGCAACTCTCTTTCCCACTCCCCAGCAACGGTGGGAAATTCTTGCACTGAGACCAGGGATTTAGTGGATTTTCCCATTCTTGCTTGTTTGCTTCTACTTTCCTGCCCCCCACAGGCCAATCCAAGAAAGACATGAGGTCTTCCTGGGAGCCTAACTCTTCCCCCTGAAGAAACAGTAACTCCTACAAGGACTACCAGCACTGCTGTGGAGAGATTTTTGTCCATGCACTGAGGTTTTTTGGAGGGTGTAGGGTGGCAGAGGAGTTGGGCTAGGGTCTAATCTATTTTTTTTAAATGATATCAATTTATTTAATATGTTGCTTGTTTGGACCTAACTTTTTTTTTTTTTTTATGGTTCCTCCTCAGGTGGCAGTGCAGATAGTGTTTTGTCTCAAATTGCTGCTCAAAGGAAAAAAGCAGCAGGCTTACCTGAACAGAAACCCAGCCAGCAATATAGTTCAATCCACACAGCTGCTTCATCCACGCTTCCTGAACTGCAGCAGTACACTCAGATAGCTGGCAATGGACATATTGCAAAGGTATATATATGAGTTTTAAGCTTTCCTGTTGCTAAAATAGCTAACACTTAACAAAGCAGTGAATGAAACATGCCTTAGTCATGTGTGGTAGGAAACACAATTACACAACATATAATGGACTAAAATGTGTGAATGTCTGACACGCTGGTAGAAACATGTCAGTTCCACCAAACTTTCCCTTAGTAACAAATCTGTGCAAAGGCAGGCAAAAATAAAGGGAAGTTTTTATTTATTTTCCGCTTGGTTCATTTTAAATAAATGTAATCACAGCCCAGACTTTAATACATTTCCTGAAAATAACCGTCAGCCTGACATGTGCCTGCTTAGCATGCAAAGCCACCTGAATCTGACTCTGCTGAGCAACTAATTCTTTGGAACGAAGTTTTAAAGTTTTCACAATCAGACTTGAATATGCACGAAAGGGGGTTAGGAGGCAGCATTTTCCTGGAAATTTAAAAATAAATAAATAGCAATGTTGGCATCCTTTCTCTGTAACAAAGACAGTAACACAAGATGGGATATACAGCTGCAGTGAAGTATATGGGGAGGAGGGATAGCTCAGTGGTTTGAGCATTGGCCTGCTAAACCCAGGGTTGTGAGTTTAATCCTTGAGGGGGCTACCCAGCAAAATCAGTAGTTGGTCCTGCTAGTGAAGGCAGGGGGCTGGACTCAATGACTTTTCAAGGTCCCTTCCAGTTCTAGGAGATAGTATATATCTCAATTAATTAATTAATATGCCCTTTCCAAGAATTGAGGCTCCAATTTGGCAAAATACTTAAGCATATGCGTAACTTTAATTTTGAAGCCAGTGGGACTTAAAAACATGTGTGAGTGCTCTCCTGAACTGAAGCCAGAGAAAAAAGCTGGTGTAATAAGCAAGAGATAACCCAAACATTTTTCTAGGGAAGCAGAGTGATATAATTTTAAGCTTTAGCTTCATGAAGAAATTTATTTGTAAGCACTTGGAAAATGACCAGCTGAAGCTCAAGGTTCATAAACAGCTAATTGTGGCAGACAATTCTGATGATCTTTTGCAATACTATCATGAGTCAGAGCCCCAATTCAGCAAGCTACTTAAGCACATACCAAAATTTAAACACATCAGTGGGACCGCTGATATACCTTACTGAACAGGGGCCTTGGTGAAAAGAGGGAATTCAGATTAAACCCTACTATGTCCGGTGATCTTGTTATAATTGTTTCACATTGCTTTTACTTTAGTGACTTCAAGACAGTTTTTCTTAATTTACACCAGTCTGTGATCAGGATCAGGCCCAGTATTCAGATTTTGGTAAAGTTTTTGATGTGGTCCTGCCTGAGAATCTAATTGAAAAATTAGAATTTTTTTTGCAATAAATACTGGGGAATGGATACAAATTGACTGATAGACCATTCGCGCAGAGAGAGAGAGAGAGAGAATATGCACGTCATTTTGCAGGGATTACTTTAGCATTCAGTATTGTATTAATATTATTATAATTGATCTAGAGGAAGGTTTCTCAACTTCTCCTCTGCTACCCCCAAACCACTAATTTTTTCTTCTGTGATTGTATAAATGAGAATCTTTTATGCCGTTTCAGCTAAAAAGGTCAAAAAAGCTGTAATAGGAACAGGACTGCATTTGTGATTTGTGTAACTGGAATAATATCTGTAACATTGTCTGGCAATCATATGTCTCATAGTTCTCTGAGAGTGTGTCAATGAGGATCCCAATGTAGGTGTACATGTGGCTCACGCACAAGTCCATGGAATAGCAGTGTCCATCGAAGCCATGCATGCGCCCTGTGCCTCCTTGTGCTTTTGTGCAAGGGCATAAAGGATGGAGCTGCCACAACCTTCCCTCAGTTCCCTCTTAGTAGCAAGCAAGGAATCCTGTGAGTGTCTGACCCACTACCCTGTTCAGAGCTTTATAACCTTTGTTTTATTCTCAAATCTACCATGATAAGAACACTGTCCTCCCTCTTAATCTATACTTAGGGTCCTACCAAATTCATGGCTGTGAAAAATGTGTCACGGACTGTGAAATCTAGTCTCCGCCGTGAAATCTGGTCTTTTGGGTACTTTTACCCTATACTATTCAGATTTCATGGGGGGAGATAAGCGTTTCTCAAACTGGGGGTTGCGACCCCGAAGGAGGTTGTGGGGGGAGGAGGGGATTGCAAGTATACTGTACGGGAGTCGCCATATTGCCACCATTACTTCTGCACTGCCTTCAGATCTGGGTGGCCAGAGAACAGCAGCTGCTGGCCAGGCACCCAGCTCTGAAGGCAGTGCCCCGCCAGAAGCAGTGAAGAAGTAAGGGTGGCAATACCATACCATGCCACCCTTCTGTGCCACTAACTTCACAGCTGGGTGGCTGGAGAGTGACTGCTGCTGGCGGCCAATGGCCCAGCTCTGAAGGCAGCAGCACAGAAGTAAGGATGGCAATACTATACCATGCTATCCTTACTTCTGCGCTGCTGCTGGCAATGGTGCTGCCTTCAGAGCTGGGCTCCTGGCCAGCAGCCCACCGCTCTCCGGTGGCCCAGCTCTGAAGGCAGCGCCACCACCAGCTGTAAGGGTGGCAGTACTACAACCCCTCTACAATAACCTTGTGACCTTCCCACAACCTTATTTTGGGTTAGGACCCCCTACAGTTACAACAGTGAAATTTTAGATTTAAATATATAAAATCATGAAATTTACTATTTTTTAAAATCCTATGATCATGAAATTGACCAAAATTGTGAATTTGGTAGGGTCCTATCTATACTTCACTGCTATTGGCATTAAAAAATAAATCTAAATTAATCCAACTACCTCCTTGTCCAGTGGGGTGAGGCATTTTGCACCAACCACCTTCTTTTACCGTGTTTCTTAATTTGGGGTATACATTGAAGTTGGGCCTCC